AAGCAGTGGGAGCCTGGAGTCAGGTCACAGCCTGTTTCGCCATGTTGCGCTCTCCGTTTCGGTCCCTGAAGCAATTGCCCAGACCTACCGGAATCACAATTTAGTTTTGGTGTTGAGGGTTTGTGATTCCGCTAGGTTGTAGATTCAATGTGAAATTTCTTGACTCGTTGAAATGTAATTTGGAGTAGATTCCCAATCCAATTAGAAATTTGTTTCTTCATTTTGGTTTGTAGATTTCTGACTCGATGTCGTTTCCCCTGTGCCAACATGCGCGAGTCCCAAGCAGAAATGGCGTGAGCTGCGATGAATCCTGCCTGCATGAAGCACAAGGCTTCTGTCGCAATCATGTGAAAGCCCATTTCTCCAACGGAGTTCTTGAAACAGGGGTGTTTTCCGCTTGCAGCAGAGGTGGTGACTGTTTACCAGCGAGTCTGCGTGTGCTGAGGGTTTGCACTCAAGCTGCGGGTGTCTCCCTCTTGGCAAGGTCCGATGGCTTGGGTTGGTTGAGTGTTTTGCCCTGGAAAGTGGACGTGGCCGTTCCAAACCAAGAGCTGCAGTTTCTTGAGGTTGGCTTTGGACGCCCCCACGTGCGGGTGCTTCGCACGTTGGCGCGGCGGTGTAAGTGGGGCTTCCGCTTTGGAGATGACTACGATTGGGGTTGCCAGGCCAGGAGCGCTGTTGCATTTTTTGTGTGGACACGGGAGATAGGTTGCAAGCAGGCGACCTGGAGAGTGCAGACTGATGATCCCCAGCAAATGTGGCCCTGGGGATGTACACAAGAACGTCGACATGGACAGCCTTGAGCCGTGTTTGGACCATTTCGATGGGAGGTCCCTTCGCGCCTGGCCAACAGAAGCAGGGGTTCGGATTGGGGACAAACCGGTCCAGTATATGGCCAGTGGCCACGGCAAAACCAGGCTTTGCAGGGGTTCTTGAGGTTACACGGATGGCTGGACACCATCTGGAGAGGGTTCATGATTTCTGATTCCATGGACGGGGTGGAAGGGGACTCTTATTCTCAGCCCTCTTTGGAACTTAGTAATCCATTGATAATCTGCAACCTAAAGCAACATTCTGAAAGTGTGGGGCGAAACAAATCTTTTGCGTTCGGTAATTTGCTGGTCTTTTCATTGTGCTGCTGATTTCTACACCTCGCTTGGCTACCTGGCATCGCATCGAGTGGTTTTGTTCCCAGCTGGCCACGTAATTGTTTTATGTTGGTGCTGGTGTATAAGACCTTTACACCTCAACTTTTTCAGCTCATTTGCAGTGATTGCCATTTTGCATCAATCTCCCATTTGCTTTGCCGCTCGTAGTTTCCCAGCCGTAGGAACCAGAGGTGTCGCATGGCGGTAGAGGTCGGTGGTGTTTTCAGCACGTAAATCGTCAGCTTTGGCCTGGGGACATTATTTTGATTGGTTCTAGTGGTTGTCAAAGTCAGAAAATGGGGGGGTGACTCCTAGAAGTGATTCCCCAAGTGATGGGTTTCCTAGAACATGTTTCTGGGTTTCCCTTCAACCGTATCACTTAGAGGGTGACTTTGATCATGGGAAAATCATGCGGCCAGCTTCGGCTTATCTCCAGGGCCGCCTGGAGATACATGGCAGCCGCGCGGAGGAGCACTGATCTCAAGCGCCCAAGCGCCTGGGGTACTCGGGTTGAGGGGCGACAGATGTTTTTTGATGCCTGTGATGTAAGGTCTCAGCAAAAGAGTTGCCCCCTTCTTCGCAGGAGTAGGAGGTTTTACGGTAGCACACTTTGCGAACGCGATCGTTGAGCACTCGCTTGGGCTTCTTGTGAAGCCCTTGCAGGGCTTTGGATGCTCGTTACGAGGTTCCAACAAGGCATGACCCTAGGAGGTCGAAGAGTTGCCCAGCTGCCGAATGGAATCTGGGTGCCTGAACCGCATTCATGATCAAAGGCAGCGGAAGCTGCTGGATGACAAAGATGAGCCCATCTATGTTGCCAGGATATCATTCTGGTGAGACATCGTCAAGTACTCTGCATGGTTGAGAGTCTGTGATGGCCCGTGGAATTCCGTGTTCGTTGTCAATTGGTCAGCACTTGCGCCTGTCTATTGGACCTCGATTTTGGCCTCTGGGTGTCTCATCTCGCCATAGCTTCATGGGGTTCCCCCGGAGTTTCTCATGGGTTTCCCACCTCATGGGTTTCCCACGGGTTTCTCACGGGTTTCCCTAAACTTTCCCAAGTTTTCCCACACTTCGAGTCGCCATGTCTCCCGTCACTGGCCTCCCTCGAGCTTCGCAGGAATGCCAAGCGAGCTTGGTGGCTGTCAGCTATGCGCCACTCTACGCAGGGGCACCAAGACGCGGAGGATGGAGTTTTTCTGTTGTTTTTTCCGGGCTGGGGGGTATGGGATTGGACCAAGGAGGCAAAATGGAAGAGATGTTGCCCGGCTTTGTACTAGCGGCAGAAGATGTGCCCGTGGGCAACGGCAAGTGCGTGGGCAATTGGAAGAACTCCAACAGCATGAAGGTGC